CCCCGCCGTTTTGAGCGGCGCCGCCGGCGGCGGCGGGACGTGGCGGTCGTACCTGCACCGCGCCGCGAGCTTTGGCAGCGGCTTCGCCGGCATCGTGCAGCAGCGGCAGCTGAGGGACGGCGCGGGGGAGACGCGGGCGGTGCTGGTCGAGTCTTTCAGCCTCATGTTCAGGCGAGCCACCCCTGGGCGGGCCCCCTGCGGGCGGCACACGCGCGGCGCCGGGGATTGCTCGGGCATCGGGCGGGCATCGGGCGGGCATCGGGTTTGTGAGCGCCGCGGGCCAGGGGCTGCTGCTCGCGTGCCCGGCGGAGACAGCCGGCGTCTAGAACCCCACGCCTCTTTCAAGGTCCCACGAGCACCCTCGCCCGCCCCTTCCAGACCGCAAGTCTACAGCTGATGCGCTCCCCCTCTCGCCCCAACAAAACGTTCCCTCCGCGCGATGCTACCTGCAGCGACGCGACCATGCGGGCCGTCGCGGTGCAGCACCTGCACCAGTGCCAGCGCAACCTGGAGCGCGCGCTGCCGCTGCTGAAGCAGGGCTTCCCCATCGGGGCCCGCTTCGAGGTCTCACACATCACGAGCCTCGAGGACCGCTCTGCAGGTGGGCGCGCGCGTGTGGGCTGCGCTGCGCTGCACCGAGATTCGCGGCACCGCGCCGCGCGGCGAGGGTTGCTGGGGACCTTTACGGTCGGGCCGGACTGCCTGCCCATGCTGCTCAACTTTGCCAGCACATCTTGGGCGATCGAGCTGGCCGCGTGGTGTCCCCCCTCCCTTTCCCTCGAAACCCTCTTGCCCTTGACACCTGAGACACCAAAGTCTGAGTGGGGGAAATTGATTGCATTGGATCGAATGCTTTCCAGCCTCCTGGCCGGCCGCGCTCAGAGGCTGTGCCTGCCATGTGTGCTGTGAGCTTGCCTGAGACATCCACGGGTGAACGTCCGCGAGCGCTCACACACACACACACACACACACACACACACACACACACTCATACACATACACACACGTACACACACATACACAATTACATACACACACGCACACACACACACAAACACAAACACAAACATACCCTCACACACACACATGCACACTCACCCCCCCCCCACCCCGCAGGCCCCGAGGCGCTCATCTCCGGCCCCGTGCCTTGGGGCTCTGAGCTCCCCCTGCCCGACCCTTGGGCTTCCGCAATCCACACCGCCCGCCGGCAGGCGCAGCAGCAGGCAGAAGACCGGCCGCTCGACACGCCCGCTGACGTCGGGGGCGGCGGGCCGGGAGCGTTCAGGGTTTACTTGTCTACCCCCGCCGGCCTGGCCGTGGCGACGGTCGTGCCCGAGCTGCTGCTGCGGCTGGCGCAGCAGGCGGGGCCGGCGGCGGGGGACGTGCTGGCAGTGCCCGTGCGCGCGCTGCTGCTGCGGGCGCGCGGCGGGCGCGTGGCGGGCGCGGGGGACAGCGGGGCCGAGGGCGGCGGCACGAGGGAAGACGGTGGCGGCGGCGGCGGGGGCGCAGGCCATGGCGGCAACCGCAGTATGTCGTGGCAGCTGACCAAAAACCAGTCGTTTCCGTCGACCGGCCGCGGCCGCTCCGACGCCGCCGGCGCGCCGCCGACGCCGCCACGGCGAGCTGCGTCGTCGTCAGCCGCGCTCCTGGACGCGGCCTGCGACGAAGCCTGTGACACACCGCCCGCCTCAGGGGTCAGTGGTGCTTCTGCTGCTTCGGCGGCGGCTGCGGCGGCCGCGCACCCGCCCCAGCAGCAAGAAGACACGCCGCTCGATGGCAGCGGCGCGGTGCCGCCGCTGGTGCAGTCGAGCTCTCACCGCTATGGGAGCACCGGGGACTTCCTGCTTCTTGAGCGGCGGTGGTCGGCGTCCGAGGAGGGCGCGGCCGGCGGGAGCGGCGGCGCTGAGGGGGACGAAGGCGAGGAGGGGGCGGAGGGGCTGGGGACGGCAGCGACCCGTGGGGCGCGGGCTGGCAGCGTCTCAACACGAAACGCGGGTGGCAGCGCCGCGGCTGCCGTTGATTGCGGCTGCTCCGAGGTTTCGGAGGAGGCCGCCAGCAGCGCCGGCGGCGGCGGCGACAGCGCCGGCAGCGGCGCGGCGGCGACGGCGGCGGCCGCGGCGGCAGCGGTCGCGGCGGCGGCGTGTGGTCGCGGCGGCAGTGAGGAGCTGCAGGTGTCGTTTGCTGCGGAGGTGTTGGTTGTTTTGAAAGTGCAGCTGCAGCTGCAGCATGTTGAGGTATCAGGAGGGCAACAGCAGCAGCAGCAGCCCCAGCGGCCAGAGCAGCAGCTGGAAGCGGGCTCCGCACGCCCCGCGCCACGAGTGAGGGAGAGCGAGCCCGCGCAGCCGCAGCCGGCCGCCACGCCCGGCGAGTGGGAGCAGCAGTGGTGCGACGCGCCGTCCGAGTTCGCAGCCCCATGCGGCGGCGCGGCGTCGCCCGCGCCGCTCGGCGCCGACGAGTCGCCGTTTGCACGCCTGCCGAGCGCGGGCCGCAAGAGCAGCTCTGGCAGTTTTGGCAGCCTGGCGGGCCGGCTGGTCGGGCTAGGGTGGTACGGCGGCGCGTCTTTTGATGGGAGGGCCCGGGGCAGGGCGGCCGGGGCGAGCGGCGGCGCGCTCCTGGGCCCGAGCGACGTCAATTTTGCGGCGGCCGGGAAGCGGCCGTCGGTGCAGGCGCTGCCTGTCGTGATCGGCGGCGCCGCGCTGGCGCATGGCGCCTCGGGCGGCGGAGCCCGCGGCGACGCCGGGCCGGGCGCCGGCGAGCGCGCGCTGCTGCGCGCCGCGAGTGTCGTGGCGCTGCTCTGCTGCGTGTCCCTCGCGCTCGGCGCGCACGTGCCCGGCGCCGGGCCGCTGCTGCTGTGCAGCGCGGCGCTCGCGAACGCCGCCGCGCTGCTGCTGGCTGCGCTGCCCACGGGCGCGGTCGCGCGGCTGATCGGGCACCGGTGGGCCGCTGGCGGCGGCGGCGCCGGCGCTGTCGGCGGCGTGGAGGCCTCCCAGCCCTCCTCCCTGCTGAGCAAGCTCGCGTCCATCGCGCTCGCGGCGCCGGCGGCGCCGGCGCGCGAGGGCCCGCCGCTGGCGCTGCGGCTGGTGGGCGCCGCGTTTGCGCGCGACGCCATGGGCGTGCTGGAGGAGCAGGTGGGCGGCGCGCGGGCGCATGGCATGGCTGCATGGCGACTCGCAGGCTCATGGCATGCGGGAGCGACCCCTAGGGTCGCCCAGCATGCATGTCACCCAGCATGCATGTCGACCCGGCTCAGCCTGCGGGCGCATGCTTGGTAAAGCGCCGCGCGTGGCCCTCCAACCGCCGAGCTCTCGCCATGCCCACCTCTCCGCCGCCATGACGGCCCCATACCGCCCCATGCGCGGCGGTTCGCACTCATGCATGTACGCGCGCCCCGGCCCCAGCTCGTGGCTGCCTGCACCCCCATACGCAGGTCATTCTGTTCAAGGCCCTTTACAGCCGAGAGCCAACTGCCGCAGCCGCCACAGCATCCGCCGCGGCGCCTGCCGGCACCGAAGCCGGCACCCGCGCCAGCGGCGCGGCGGGCGGCGCGCCCGGCGACGGCGTCGTTTTCGTGTCGGACCCGGAGCCCGATTGGATGACTCAGGACATGCGGCGGCGCTTCCTGGCGGCTAGGTAGGCGCGCCCCTTGCCCCGCAGCCCGGCGGCCCCAGGGCACATGCGCATGCGCATGGCGGCGCGCCGCATGCCACCCCGCGCTCGTGCAGCTTGCGCTGCTCGGGGCTCACAGCTGAGGCCAACCCCTGGCGCCGGCCCCCAACCCGTGGCCCCTCAACGCCTGGCGCAGGCCCGTGCTAGAGGAGCAGCAGGCCCTCGCGCGCAACCACCACGCCTACCGCCTGCGGTACCGCGTGGACGGGTGCCTCTCCCGGCCACCGCCGCACTTCGCGTTCTTCGCCGACAGCTTCCAGCACAAGCTGCTGGGCGTGTCGCCGCAGGGCCACTCCGTGCTGCTGATCCGGGTACGCCCACGGGGGCCCGTGCCACGCCGCCGCATGCCTTGTAGCGCCCACATGGACGCGCCCGCTTCCATGCATGCGTTGCCGACCGACGGGTGTGCCTGCACACCTGCCGCAAAGCCCCCGTCTTGCTCACAACCGCACGCCCCTGCGTCCGCCGCGCCCGCGCGCCATGCTGCAGCTCGCGTCGCTGACGGCGCTGCCGCGCGCCCTCAGGGAGGCGGGGCTGGTTCTTGACGACTTTGTGCGCCACATGGCATGGGTTTGGACGTTCATGTTTGAGCGCCTGGTGCCGCACGAGCACCCTGCGGGCCGCATGGTGCTGGTCGCCGACTGCAGCGCCATCCGGCTGTCGCTGGCGATGGGGGAGGGGCAGGTGGGCCGGGCCGGCGCGGCTGAGGGGGCGCGCATAGAACACATGTGTGGGGACGCAGGCGCGCCGGGGTCTGGTCCTCCTCGCACCGGCGGTGCATGCTTGTGCAGGCGATCAGTGGGTGGGGTGCTGCTACGCTCGCTCAAAGGCACGGGGCCCCCGCCTTGACTCTCGGGGCGCTCCTCTAGGCGGCCGCACGCGCTCTTGGCATCGTGGCGGAGGCGAACCCCGAACGGAACGCCAAGACGCTCGTGGTGAACGCGCCCAGCTGGTTCAACGTCATCTGGAAGGTGGGAAGAAGCTGCCGAGCTTCCACATCCGCGGCGCGGGCTTGACGTTGCAACACCTGTACGGACCCTCACGTCCTGGACGGCGCCGTTGGAGGACAATCCTGTCCTGCACAGACGGGCATGCTTCTGGTCCCTCATTTGCTTCTCATCGCCCCTGCAAAACCTTGCGCCCCACGCAGGTGATGGCCCCGCGTCTGTCAGAATCGACGCGCGCGAAAGTGTCCGTCCTGACCAGCCAGGCGGAAGCTGCCGCGGAGCTGCGACGCCACCTGGGGGCCCACCTGGTGCCAGCAGAGTTTGGAGGCCCCTGCACGTGGGCGCTGGATGACTATCCGGCCCAGCGCGCGATGCTGGAGCTTGCGGCTTCGCTGTCCGCAGGCGGCTGCGCCGTGCCCGGCGGCACCGCCAGCGGCGGCGGGGCCGCTGGTCCCGGGCGCAGCGCACTGTGAGAGTTTGGCTGTTTGTTATATTTGCTCGTGTCTGGAGCCCTGACACGTTGAATTTACCTCAGGCCCATATGTCAACAACAAGCTGCACCTGAGCTGCCCTGCGGCATACGCGCATTGCTTTCATGAGGTTGCGCTGGATATTTCTTGCTGGCATACGTTGTTTCCAGTCACGAATGGGATCGAATGCGAAATCTCTGGGTGTGGGCTCTCAACTGCCTGCTGATGCAGAGCTGGTGTTGTGTCGACGCACACGTCCTGCAGACGTCATGTCCAAGGAGTTGCTCGTGGGGCCCACATGGGCTAGATGCCTGATGCAAACACAACCGCCAAGATCCAGTTCAAGAGCACCTCCCTTACCGGCGGCTCCCTCAACCGCATACATATTATGCTTGGTCAACAGTGATAATTATGTTATGTAATGCTGCAGTGCTACATCCCAGTGGCGCCATGCTCCAGATGCACCCGCCACTATCTGCGTGCCCTGGCGGCTCAACACACTGTAGACGTACCGGTGCTTCAACTCTGCGGACAGGCGCCTGCTTGTGCACCAAGCTGCACTGCAGCCGCAGCGTCCACGGCACCGTTGAGGCAATTGTGTACTGCACATTCTGATCATGTGTTTGAGACGCCCCCCGCTGCAACTTGCATCTCGGTGGCTCTGCAGCGCTGCTGCTTGGGACGTCACGCACAGGGAAGCTGGCGTCTGCGCACCTCTCGCCCCAGGGCTGTGCCAGGGGCACTGCCGCCTCGGTGGTCTGTGTGCATGAGTGGGCTGCCGCTTCATTGCGGCAACCCTGCGCTCTGCTGTTCATACGTCTTGGTGCACAGCTCCATGAAAATACCGCTGTTCATGCTCAAATCGCGATCAGAGAAGGGGTGGAGGTTTGGCAGCAGGCGCACTGCCTGCATCCGCGCGGCCACACCAGTCCACGAGCGAAGATCGAATCCGCGGCGGCCGACATGAGCATTGCATCACATAGGAAAAGCAAGAGATTAAACTGGTTAATATGCGATAAAATGGGGCTTGATAGGCCTCCTCACGGTTACTCACCCGCGTAGTGAGGCGCTGAAGTGTGCATTCAATACGGCCCTGATAGCGGTCCGGCGCAGTGTTTTCAATTCACAAAACACACGGTAGTGTATTGAAAAACATTCAATCAAACCTTCACTTCAGCACTATCACCATTGCCGCCAAGCACCCTTCCCCACTCCCTGCACTCCACACGGTGAGGAGGTCATCTCGGCGCCTTGACGATGCAGCTATATGATTTCATTTGTTGGTGCATGGCCGGCTGTGAGGACTCGAGGTCCTTACGAGGGTCGTCAAACGGTGTGGCGCCCGACATCTAACCCCGGCCTTGCCTGCCATCGCCCCATCCCGGTCCTATCTACACTCTACAGGTCACCATGAGGACCAATACAGTGGTTTTCGCCTTCATGGCGATTATGGTGGCGTCGGCTGCAGCTGGTGAGGGGCGCATGGCACTAGGGCCACTTATGTCAGACCCCGGCAAGGCGGAGTGGTGGGCGCGCCTCGAGCAATAAGATAACGGACATATCGAGCAGTGCTTTGAAGGCCTTGTCACCCGCGTTGTGTGCGGCCAAGCAGATGTCACCCTGGGGCAGCGCCCGGTCCTCACCAGCGTTTCGTGGGGACCCCAGCCTCCATGCAGCGCCAGTAAAAAGCTCAAGTATATAGAGGTCGAACGCGCTGGTTGTGGCCAAGTGGTGCACATGGACGCCAGCGGGCCGCATCTGCCGCGCGCGGCCCTCAACGGCCCAGTGGGCAGTCCCACTAGGGCCCCACCTGCACATCCCACATATGTGTTCATTATATCCCCACCCCTGTGCCTGCCTCCCGATCTCTCCCCCAGACTCAAACTTCTTCGGTGGCAAGGGCAGCCTGCTTGCGCAGCTGGGCCTGGGCTCGACGCCCTTCAGCGGCTTCGCGTCGTCCGGCAAGGGCGCCATCTCCGGCCTCCTGAACCAGACAGTGTCGTTCAAGACTGGGGCAGCCAAGGGCCTCCCTGCCCTCCCCAGCAAGCCCGACCTGTCCAACATCACCGACACGATCTCCGGCCTCATCAGCCAGCTGACCCAGGCCAAGACGAGCCTGGTCCCCAAGCAGATCCCTGCGATCCCCACCATCGCGATCCCGGCCATCCCCAGCAAGCCCGACCTGGCCAACATCACCAACTCCCTGTCGGGCCTGATCAGCCAGCTGAGCAAGGCCAAGCCCGCCCCGGGCAAGCCCGACCTGAGCGGCATCATCTCGCCGCTCACCAGCGCCCTCGGCCAGCTCACCAACAAGAGCTTCCCGGCCATCCCCTCCTTCCCCAAGCCCACGATCCCCAGCATCCCCACCTTCACCCTGCCCAACATCACCAAGCCCGACTTCAAGATCCCCACCATCCCGACCATCCCCAAGCCTGATTTCAAGATCCCCACCTTCACCCTGCCCAACATCACCACGCCCGACTTCCCCAAGATCCCGGCTGACCTGTTCAACAAGTCGGCGCCCGCGATCCCCGCGATCCCCATCGACGCCATCACCAAGGCGATCAGCCAGCTGACCGACGCGAAGAAGGCCGCCGTGTCGCAGCTGGTGTCCTCCAAGGGCAACTTCTCCCTCCCCACCCTCCCCACCC